CAGCAAACATGTATTGACTACCCGCTACTACTTGAAATTCTATCCATGGTGTTATAGGAAAATCCAACGTTAAATGCAAAAGCTTCATGTGATTTACAAAGTCAAGCAAACCCACGGCAAATGGCCATGGACATCAGCCCTGGCTGGAATGGAAGGGAGGGCCCTGACACCATCCACTTTGGTATCTCAAGATCCTTCCATACAGCTAGGGCTCCACCAGTATCTGTTGAATGAGTGTCAAAATGGAAATAGAAATATGGCAGTGACTCAATTTCTTAAGTGATCCATGAGTCATGAATTCAAAGCTGTTAGAATCTCTGAAAGAACTTTAGTCAGCAAGCTGTGTAGGGAAAAAACAGGCTCCTGGACATCCAATCCAATGAAACGGGGATTCCCTACACTCCAGCTTGAAATCCAATTAATAGTCTGGGTCTGTCTTGACTGGCCTCCTGACAGCAATAGTGAATGCTACTTTTGTCTGCCCTCCGTGCACACCCTCTTTCTTTGGATAATTGGCTTTTCTCACTCTTGGTTCACACAGTTTAAGGTGGAGCCAAGCCCCTCCCTAACCCCCAGACATGAAGATGGGCAATTGGATCAGGTCAGGCCAATGCAAGTTTTCCTTCCACTTGACCACAGTGATTGGTTTAGGGATATTAGGTGACTCAAGATAGGCCTCTAAGACGCAATCCCAGGATTCATGCTGGGTCTTCTGAGGGGGAAAAAAAGCTCTTTCTTTCTACTAGAATTTAAACTTTTGGATGTAGGCTTGATGCTAGTCATTTTAACTTTGTCAGCAGAGGCGTAAACAGACTCTAGAGGCGGAAAAAGTATGTGTGTGTGTGTGTGTGAGAGAGAGAGAGAGAGAGAGAGAGACAGACAGACAGATAACTGCCCTTTGGTCACTCGGATACAGCTGTGCCTGAAACTGGCTATACCCTATGGTCTTGGTTATACCACCAACAAATGCACATGCTTACTTCAGCAAATTTGAGTTGGTTTCCCATGGCTTGCTAGCAAAATGACTTGAATAATAAATACAGCAACACAGAGCAAGCCTCAAACTACTCTGCCTTTCAGTGAGACATCCCATGGTGAAAGCAGGTGTCAAGAGATAGGAATTCAAATTTAGGGATGGGGAAAGTTACCTTGCTGCTCTGTGGCTGAGTTTCCTCATCTGTGGAATGGGACAGTCATAAAACCTGCCTTATTGTGAGGATTAAGTAAATCAGTATATGAAAAGTACTCCAAATGTTAGCCAATATTGTTGTTATTAAGATTATTCCCATTTTTAAATTTTTTAGTATTTTATTTAAATGTTATTCCTTTTTTTAAAAAAGATTTTATTTATTTATTTGAGAGAGAGCGAGCATGTGTGTGTGTGCGTGGGGGAGGGGCAGAGGGAGAGGGAGAAGCAGACTCCCTGTTGAGCGGGGAGCCCCACAGGGCGCTTGATCCCGGGAATCTGAGATCATGACCTGAGCTGAAGTCAGACACTTAACGGACTGAGCCACCCAGGTGCCCCATGTTATTCCCGTTTTGAAAAACTATTATCTCAATGCCTGTGTTCTGTTGCTCTATTAAAGGCACCCTTTTGGCTTCAGCTTTGAACTGTTACCAAGTTGAATTAAATATCCACAGGGTCTACTAATTATTGGATAAAATAGCCCTTTATCCAATTATTCAGAAAGGAAGCCCATATTCAAGTCTGGGATTTACCTAACACTTGAATCCACTAGGAGTACCCATGGCTGAACAAGAGGCCCCTGGAGGACAGGGTGACTTATCACTGCAAGAGCCCATGAGGACCAGGAACCCAGGACTCCATCTGCACCTGCAGAACCAGCCCAAGTTCCCTTCTCCATTGAATCCAATGGGGAAATGAGTATTTTTTGAGGAATGGAGGGAAAAGGATAATGGGAGCTTTAGCTTGAAGCTTGAAGCTGTTGTAAAAGAAAGTAACAGTGTCGGTAATTTCTCCTTCCTGTTTAAGCACTTTGTGAAGTGCCGTCCCCTAAATTAAACTGGGAAGTCAGGAAAAAAACGTGTTCCCGTGCCAGCATATGGACCCACAGGCCCACTTGGCCAGAGCTTTCTAGCACACGGGAGTTCTCCTAGAGCAGAGCTGGGGAACTGGGCCAGACTGCAATATAAGAATTTCCCTCTGATGTGGAAAAACTGAAAAAAGAAGAAGAAAGAAAGAAAGAAGAAAGAAGAAAGAAAGAAAGAAAGAA